GGCCCCGCCGCGGGACCCGGAGTCGCACGGACCGAGGCCTTCTGTCCCCTGCTCTCCGTCCCCAGCGCCCTTCCCCATGTCCCTGGCCACACTTGCCCAGGCGTAGTGACAGCCATCCCCTTCCACGGCCTCCCTGAGACTCCCTCGGCCACCACCCAGGGTGCCAAGACTGGTCCTACCTTCGTACTGGACCTCCAGGTGCTCCGAGGTCAGCACGGCCAGCATGGGCTCCACAAGGTTAGTGGGGGCCTCTCCCACCGCATCCTGTGGGGATAAGGGCAGAGTGACAGGGACAGTCTCCACACAGCACTCCAGGTTGTTATCCTGGCACAGGGGCTGCCCTGTTGAAAAACTGTCGTGGCTCCTGTCAGGGCAGGAAGGACAGACACGGGAGCTAAAGCTGCCCTTCACCCCACCCAGGCCCACTACTCACCTGCATAACCACAAGCATCTGCAGAGCCAGCTGCTGCACTTGTGGGGAGGCACAGGGCAGCACAGCAACGAGGCCTTTGTAGATTTGGTTCTGGTACTTGGGATTGCCGTGGCCCAAAGAGTCCATCAGAACCCGCACGGCTTTTTGGGCCTCTGCTGAGTTGGAGGTGGCCAAGAACTCGACGAGGGATTGGACCCCTATGCAGAGAAAGAGACGCCAAGTCGTGTGTCTGGATGAGTCTGCAGGTCGCCTATCTCAGCTGTTTCACTGACACCCCGAGAGAACCCAGAGCCACATCCCGCTCGAAGCGCAGCTCAAAGAAGCCAGGCAAAAAGTTCTTTGTGCTTGCCAGGAGCCACACCACCACTGGAAAACCAGTTGGCAAAATTCTCAGCTGGTGGAGGTGGTCAAGGCCTTTTTGCGGGCGTTTACACAAGCAGAGAGTGTGGCACTAGGATCCCTCTGCTCATCCTGCTGCTTCATGTCCCCTGGAGGCAGCTGGGTGCCTCCCATAACTTCTACCAACGTGAACTGAGCTACAGAACAGCTCCTGGGGTTTGGCTTCCACTGCCCAGGAGAAAAAAAATAGGGAAAACAAAATGTTGTAATGATCTTTCAAAAGATGCAAGCTGCAAAACCCTCCCAGCCCCCAGAGGGGAAGTCTGGGAAAGTTTGCAGCAGGGAAACGCTGCAAGTAAGAATGGAAACTGTTTTGTGGTTGAACTGGAGCAGTTGCAACCAGCAGGACAGCAACATCACATCAAACAAAACGACTGTAAAGAAAGCCAGCTCATTAAGAACTGCGAGGGGATGAAATGCAACCGCTTGACAATAGCAGAGGCTCTGAACTCCTGCCAGCCAGACAACCGCTGCGGCAATCGTGGAGGGAAGGGAGTGGCTCAGTGGGGCAAACAGCCCCAGGGGCCAGAGGTCAGGGAGAACATCCTCGCCCGAATTAGGAAAAAGCACGGCCGGACGTGCCACCTACCGTAGCTTTCACAAATGAGCTCCTTGTACTTCCTGCCAGCCTCTGCGACGAGCTGCAGCAGCTTTACAGCCTCCTTTTTGTCCTCTTCTTTCAGGTGGTTCAGCCCTAGTATTTCCAGGAGAATCAAGACACCTCCGATCTCCAGAAATTCAATGAGGTACCTGCGTCTGCAGGGGCAGGAGGAAGAAAACCAGAAGTGGTTGTTGGTTTTGAGAGCACTTGAAATTCCCACCACAAGCCTCACTGGAAAAATGCCTTGCCTGAAATGCTTACACAGCCCTCCCAGAGGACCACTCAAGTCTTGTTGTTTTCTTTATCTCATCACGCCCTCCCCCTGTGTGCCCTCCCCACGGCACCTCGCACCCAGTGACGTTCCCGAGGACAGGGAACTGCTGGAGAGAGTCCAGCGTAGGGCTACAAAGATGATCAAGGGAGTGGAGCATCTCCCTTCTGAGGAGCGGCTGAGGGAGCTGGGGCTCTTTAGTTTGCAGAAGAGGAGACTGAGGGGAGACCTCATTCATGTTTATAAATATTTAAAGGGTGAGTGTCACGAGGATGGAGCCAGGCTCTTCTTGGTGACAAACAATGATAGGACAAGAGGTAATGGGCACAAGCTGGAACACAGGAGGTTCCACTTCAATTTGAGAAGAAACTTCTTCTCAGTGAGGGTGACAGAGCCCTGGCCCAGGCTGCCCAGAGAGGTTGTGGAGTCTCCTTCTCTGCAGACATTCAAAACCCGCCTGGACGCCTTCCTGTGTAACCTCATCTGGGTGTTCCTGCTCCGGCAGGGGGATTGGACTGGATGAGCTTTGGAGGTCCCTTCCAATCCCTGACGGTCTGGGATTCTGTACTCACCCGCTCGCAGCAGACAGGAAGATGCCGATGGACCTGAGCAGCTTGGCGAGGCACGAGCTGTACCTGTAGCTGTTTGACAAGGTTAAGGAGAGATTCACAGCCCATTGCCGTGTCCCTCAGGCTGCCTTTGGCAATGTGGAGGTCTGAACTGGGTATGTGCTCTGCGAGAGAGCACTGACCTTCCTCTCAGAGGCATGCAGAGGCAGCAGGCTCATCCCAGTATGAGCAAACCCGCTAATTCTAGGTCTCTGAGAGACAGGACACGTGAATTTCCCATCAGTTCCATCTCTAGATATCCAGTGGTTTTTTTCAACCCTGGATATGGATGTCTCCATCCAGAAGCTTATTCTTGAACCAAAGTTTTGGTAGCGGATTTCCCTCCCTCTCCCTCCCACTACCGCACGCCACCTCCAGCCGCCCAAGGCCATGGGTACGTCATCCTGAGCCACACTGTGAGGCGAGCCAGGAACAAGCTGGCTCCCTGGGAGAACTCCAGCTCCAGCTCTGGCTCCATCTTGCCGTCATTGCTTTTGATGAAGTTGTCTAGGATGTGGCTTCGAGTAACGTTGTGGCCGTCGTCCCATTCCTTCAAGAAAACCATGACCTTCCTGATGGCTTCCTGCTCTTTGACAGAAGTCATGATCTCTTCTGCCTAGAGAAGAGTGAGGAAGAAGTTAAAAACGGGGCTTGAAGATAGAAAAAAAGTCTGTGCTAAAGAATTAACCACCAGAACCACATTTAAAAATCTCTGGAGAATATTATTAAAGAGCTTTCTAGCCATTAATTTAATCTTATTTTACTTCATACTCATCACATTGATATGAAGACAGAGGCAAAATGAGAGTTTCTGCTGTATCTGAAGCTGCCCAATGCGTCTGTGACAGACTTGAGATTATTTTCCAGGGCATGTGGCTTCACCACATGAGCTCTCTTCTCTGCTCTGCTCATAAAGTCATTTTGATGTTACCCATTACCCCAGTCTTGGCTTCTCGCTAGCCTCATGATATGAACACCGCATCTCATATCTGACCTGCCAGAGAACAAATAGGGTGAAATGAGAGCACAAATAGGTATGGATTGATGGGGAGTGACAGGGTCAAGGGGGCTGTAAGTGCCTGTTAGCACAGCAGCGCCGCACGTCCTCACCCACGCGATGGAGCAGCAGGCGTTGGGACTGGGCTCACATCCACTCCAGGAAGATGTGCTCGGGAGTGGGAGAGCGCCCTGGGACCCTGTGGCACGCCAGACATTTGCTCTGGTTCTTTCTTATGTACTTTCTATGGCATGTTTTTCAACAACCTAAAAAACCCTGGGATGGCAAGAACTACAGGCAAGAAGACAGATCTAGAAGCATCCTCTGCCTGCACTTCCATCCCTTCACCCAGGTGTTACATACAAATTTATCTGGCACACTTTTGGCTCACTACGATGTCCCCTATTCCAGCTGGACAAGGTGTGCTTAGCAGGGGGGTGAAATGTCAGAGGATTAAGCTCTGGGGTCGTTCAGGGAGGTGAGAATTTCACTGAGACCCATGTGTTTGGCTGTAAGACACTGAGCAATCTCTAGAGGCCTTGCAGTTACACCATTGAGTGTCTGTGTGCACAAAAGGATGCAGAAAAAGGGACAAGGTCACGGACAGCTGCACTAACACGGATTTGTTGTCCTCTACCAAGCTGTATCCACAAGCCCCAGGGTACAAAAGGAGTTCACACTTTGTCTAACACAGTTCTTGGACTTCCTATGTAAGAAAAGCATCGCTTTAGGTTTAATTTAAAGTGTGGCTTAAGAGAAAAAAAAGTTAAAATTACACAAAATCGTTGGGTTTCAGAATACAAAGTTTCTTTCAGTGCAATACCAGTCCCCAAAATTTCCTATTGACAAAGTTCTTGAGCCTTTTCTCCTAGAATCTGGAGCAAAATCCCCACTCAGGTCCAGAGTATCACCAGGATACCTGCTCAGAAGGAACTTATTGCTATTACCTGAAGCAGACTGAAAATAAAGAGGTCAACAGCTACCTCGGTGCCTGACAACAAACAAACAAAGTCTTCAAGAAGCTGGCCAAGAAACCAGGTTTGAGAATTAAGGTGAGGTGAAATTTCATTTGGGAATTAACGGCCTGTGCTCTGGAAGGAGCCTGTGTCCTTGGCAGGGTGTTTGCAGGGTCTCCTTTTCAGGGAAGCAGGTTTAAAATAAATCTATTTTCCCCAAATAGTTGTGATTGAAAATGTTATTAGCCATAACAAATGTTAGTGCTGACAGGAGAATGGCCTGTTAGGGGCCTGTGGTGAAACAGTCAAGTGAAAGTCATATTTCACATTATTGCGAGCATTTTCCCGTGATTTACAGAATATTTGTGAAACATTACTTGCAAGGCACATGATTGATATTGAGAGAACAGCCAGTGTGTAGGTGGAATCTGTATTTCACAGAGCCTGTTTGCATTAAATTTACAGTCCCATAAAGTGCTCCTCTGTCCTCAGCAGAGATCTAGTTAAAAGAACTTTACAGTCTGAAACATCCCCAAATTGATTCTAAATGAACGTTTCCATATTTATGTTTGAGGTGCTGGTGGTGTAATACCATCCTGCTTTTATCACAGAGCTGCAGCAACCCCCTCCGCTATTCAGAAATACAGCAGCAGCCTCTGGACGTGAGGATTTTAGTGATACAAAGGGCTTGCCTATGAACCAACGGCCTGAAACAAGGATCACACAAAGCTCCTGACAATACAGTGGGATCTGTCCCTGGGTGCTATCATAACAGCATCTGCTGACACGGCAGTCTGTAAGCCAACATTGCAAAGTACCCTGAAAATGTACGTGAATATTTTTATTAGGACCGTTTTACATATGGGAACATAGAGACACAGGGAGGTGAAATGACTCGCCTGGGTTGTTTGTCAGTGCTAGCATCAGCACGTAACTCCTGTCTGTTGGCTTCAAACTCTGCTCTCAACGGCGCTGCACTGCCACTCTAGTCCATTGGACCTAATAATCACAACAAGGCTGGGTCAGGGCAGCGCTTTACTCCTGCCAAGACAAGCACAAGTGATTTAGGAACTGGTCTGGCAATTCAGCAGCTCTTTACAGCCAGAGTGCTGCTACATCATCAGACTGAGATCAAAAGGCAGAGCGGTGCTGTGTCAGCCTCCGTCCGAGCGCGAGGTGCCAGGGGCTGATACAGCCTTGGACTCAAGGAAGGACAGAGCGACGGTGATCTGGTGTTACCTTTGCATCTTGCAACATCAAGGCTGTGCCCAGCCTCAAGCAAACCTCAAAGCTTTGGTTTCCCTAGCAGGTCTCATCTTCTCCTGGCATAGCTCAAATGCCCCTCAACCCTCCTGACACACAATGTGGACCCCAATGCCTTCTACCCAGCCCCCAGTCCCACTGAAAAAATCCTCCCTCCCTCTGACCCCCCCCGTTAGCCCCAGCCACAACCCCAGGCCTCTTCACTCCACTCCCCCTCAGCTGGGCCCTGCACTGACCCCTACCTAATCCCAGCCCCTACCCCGCTAACCCACTGCAGCCTCAACGTTCCCCTCCCAGATGACCCAGCCCAACCACAGGCCCTGTGCCCCCAGGCCCTACAGACCCTAGTGCCCATCCCAGCCCCCGTGTCCGCTCCCGCTCGCCCAAACGCCCAGCCTAGGACCAACAACCTCCCTCAGCCCTATCCCCC